TAAATAGTATCATCGGATGAGTTTGAATTGAGAAATGATCCTTAAGAAATTTTATACATTTTGAGTCTGATGCTTTTATTTATTTTATATTACATTAGAAAAAGGACTCAAGACAACATTCAACATAATATTTATGAATGAATTATAGAACATATGAAAACAAAATTTTGATTCAAATCTATCTTTATGAATAGTAATAGTTCAATACGATTCATCTATCAGATGAGTTTTGATTAACCTATCTAAAATAAATCCATCTCTCCCATCAATAGTATTACTAGGATGCAACTCACATGGTTTAACAAAATTCCTCTATATTTTTAAACAAATGAAAACATAAGTGAACTTCATGCGGTACCCAAGATAGCTAAAGATTTTTTGTTTTTTTGAAAACTATTTCGAAAAAACTTTTAACAAATTATTAGAAACATGTTGAATTTGCTATAAACAGTCTCATAACACCTATTATCATCATTTGATGAAATAGAATTGAAAATATCTTCTTATCATCGTATTTTGATTTAATGATGACACAACTTTAGGTAATCCCATAAAGTAAATATAGTTTTACTAATAATAAAGAATCACTAATGAACAATGAATAATTAATAACATCGAATGCGTACGTTTATCTTCCATAGGAAGACATTGAAAGAATAAGTAAATAATCCAATTCATCTTTGTAATGAAAATCTGAATTATTTAAACATGATTTACGTCAATATCATGCGAATCATAGCATATAAGGCAATTTCTATCCCAATGCTTGCCAACATCTCTTACTAGAATTATGTTAGATTTATTATTCTCTATCTGTAATATTCCTATAATAATGTCTGTCATGGTCTACGAGAGAAGAAAAGTATTTGTATTCTATATACTTCAAAACTTCTTGTAGATCATGTTTAACAAAAATAATGCTAAAAAAAATCTTACAGCTGAATCCAAGTATCATTGAGTAATAGAAATAAAAGATTTAATATTTTTGTTATTCGTTGAAAATATATATATATTTCTTGCTTGCTAATAATGTTTTATCTTCAACAAAAAGTATTTCAAGAACTTGTGGAGCTCTTGAATGTTTTAAAAATTTCAAAGCATATCTCTAAAAATAAAAAAAATAGATAGTTACAATTAAATTCTTCTTTATCATGTAAATTTTCTGCAATATGTGTTGTATTATTTCTTACTAATACATATTTATTCAACGAAATATCAAATCACGTAATGTACTTTTACCTCGATAAGAACGATTATAAGAAGAAATAAAACAATGCTCTTTCTTATTCTTTTATGAAACATAAAAATTAATTACTACACTGGACAATATCTTTTTAATACAAGCAATACATTGTCTGGATGTGGTCGTTGCTTCACAAGTCAATATCGCCCACATTCTTATGATAACACCTGGTGAACATCGATTTGATAGGTCCACATTTTATATAAATGCTATGATTAAACAAATGCCTCTCAATATTGACTTCAATCAATTTTCTGATTTATTTGTATGTTGATTTAATTCTATATTTAATCATTCATTATTATTTACTCTTTTCTAGAGCGATGTCGTGAATATAGTAATTTATATTCACGAGAATCACTGCAGACAGTATTATCTTAATTCAAGAACAGAAAGATTGTCTTAAGATATTGTTACATACTGAGACAAAACAATAATAACCTTGAAATAACCTTTAACTTTGCGAGTGATTTATTTTTTATTGAAAAAGTATTTAATCAAGATAGGATTGTAATTACAAAGAAAATTTACTTTTATCTAAGGATATTTCTTTTTTGAGCCTTCTCAATTTTATTTGAGCTCCAAACAGAAAAGAGTTGATAATGAACCAAATTCAATTAGGAAAAATTACATTTTTATTATCAATAAAAATGAATTAGATATATCGTGTACATAAATATACATTTTTTCTTTATTGAACTGGTCTTAAAATATAATTTGCGTATGGTCGTGGTTAGAAGCAGACCCACACCCACCTTCGTCCTCATTCAAGGCTATAAAAAAAGAAAAATTTAAATAAAGTTTAAATTTTTAATCAAGAAATTATTCTTGAATGGCTCGAGCAAGTTCATCATAATAAAAAGTCCTTTAAATGGTTACATTTTAGTTTTTTCTGTGGCATAATATTCATTTTTATAAAAGAAATATTTATTTAATACATTCATATATTAATTATATTTGATCTGCTTCCTCTTTCAATAAAGCTCAATTGCAATTTTTTAAAAATACCCAAATACATTTGAATCTTCTATTTACTTTTCTAGTTGAACTAAAATCTAAGATTTATTTCAAATTGAAATAATAATCCATTTTTTTCATTTATAATTTTTCATAAGATGAGTCAAAAAATGTTCCATTATATTTCAATAAAAATAAAATAATTTATTAAAATATTTTAATAGATAGTTTAATCTTTTGAAGATCAACGTACTTTATGAAATATACATTATCAAACTTTCTGAATTTTTCAATAACTTGCGAACACGAAATGATATTGAAGTACAATTTCCTCTATGGAATAGAAGAGATGTGAGCATCTCTATTCTAAAAACAAAGAGGGCAGACGATATCTTTTTGCTATTTTCAGAGTCTTTTGATTTTCCGTGTTGAAATCAAGTTACGAGTAACTCATAGTGGTATATCAAAGATTGACTTTACGACAGCTCTCAATCGATTTTCGACTCACACCTGTACTCTTCCACGAATTATCACAGAATAATATTAACAATATTTATCAAGAAATTTAAAGAATGCTCAAAAATGATTCTCTCGTAATATGATGCTCAACTATATAAAAAGATAGATTATCGAAAAACATATTATTTTTAGAAAAATTACTTTGATTGACAATTATCGAAAGCGATACAATTAACTGTTTGTTTCTTAAGTTTTTCTTCTTTTTGTATCAAAAGAAATTCTCCTCTAAAACGAATATATCGCTAAATAGAATCTATTCATCTTTCATCAGAATCTTCATCATTCTTCAGCCACGTTCAGACTTCCACAAACAGAAAATTACAGAAAATTCGAAAGTTTTCTAATTTTCAATATGACTAAAACCTTTTGATTTACACCGCTATGTATCCATCGAGTTAATCTCATTAAATTGAATGTTATTTATTGAGGTTCGATACAAAAATGACAATATCAACATCAGAATAATTTCATAATGATGGATTTAGTTTTTCTTTTTTGAAGATGTAAGTTAAAAAATTCTTTATCTATTATATCTGTTTATATTAAATTTATAGTTGTCAAATGTAATGATTGATATAATAAAAAAATAAACTTTATTTAATAATAAATATTTTTAGTGCTTGTTCATCTCAGTTAATTTCTTAAATAACTCGTGAAATACTAGTTCAAGTTTCAATCAACCTCAAAATATGACTCTCCAGAACAGGATCTGATTATCATTTGCATTTGCATATGCAACTAATCCGAATCATTTATGACTCCGTAAGTTATACAACTTTATTTAGAAATTTATTCTACCTAATGGAACATCTTTTAAGTAAGATCTGGACTAAGATATAATTTATAGACATCTTGAAAATTTAGCTACAACATAATTTGATTATCTTCTATCAAGATCTCTAATTATATTCAGTCGAAAATATGCATGATCCAAAAAAAACGATCGTTCAGATTCATTTATGAATGCCTCCAACGAAAGAATTTCATTCATTGTTCAATCACTTTTAAGTCAAGATCATGTTCATTATGTAGACAGGTCTGAGCGAAAATAGTTTATCGTAGAAGTTTCAGATTTTGTTACTGTTCTTATCTTGAGATACAACTATGAAAATTGGATGTCTACTAAATCACTCGTATAAAAACAGCAGATTTGATGTTCTTATTCCAGGATAGAAGCAAGTCAAATTTTTCTGGTGTTTCTGACGGGCACTACAACATTTATTGAAAAAGTTCAGTAATAAACAAGTTGGAGACTAATGTTAAATTCAAAAAGAAAACCGTTCGAAATTATTGTCCTCATGAACATCTTTGAATGAGGATTCGTTTTTACTGAATAATTCAGCATAATCTAGTAGTTGCAATCATTGACGTAATAATGTTTGGTAAGTAATTATGATTCAAAATCATGGACAAGGAATATTACATTCTTATCTCTTAATCACATCAAATTGATCTGCAGCATAAGATCGAATTACAGATCTGGTTAGAAGATAATCATGTAATGTTGTACTGAAATTTTCGAGATGTATTTCGCTTTCTGTACGGTGTTAATGATTGTTTAAAAAATACTCAAGAAAATCACTTGATATGTAAACAAAGAGAAGATTAAAAAATATTTTTATGAAAGTTAATTTTAGATTTTTAGATACTGTGACCAGGGTTGCCAGATTGTCTGAAAAATAAGGACAGTGTCTGAAATTTGGACGCCTTTCTGATTTCCTTCTGATAGTCTGACTTTTTCTGATTTTGACACTCGTCTGATTTTCCTGTTTTCGATAGTTTTCCCTATTTTTCTCATGAATTCTGAACTTTTCGAGATCATATCAGAGCTTTTTTAGCGAAATGAATTCTTATCATAACCCAATACTATAATAGATTAATATTGCACCATCTTTTCTCTCTGCTGATGAATGGTAGTGTCGAAGTTATACAGTCATCTATTGAATCTGAACTGAAGCTTATAATAAATTCATATTTTCGTTTTTCCCTATAGCCTTATTGTGGATTACACGAATAATCAATAAACTAACTATTACATGATGCTCAACTTCTTTTTCTGTCTAACTGTTGTACATAGTATCTACAACAGTTAGACAGGAAACGAAAGGAACAAGCTCATATTGCACGACATATGTTTTTGTTCTTTTCTTTTTCTCTTCAGCTGTT